ATTTTTAATTAAGTTTAAATAGTGTTCAGCTTATTAAGATGTACATAACTGATATATGTGATTCTTTTTCCAAGTCAGAAGCACATAAGAAATACCTGTTTAAAGATCATTTCTTTTAAAAAATGTTCAATGTGAAATATGCCGTATTTTGTGTGTCATGTTGCCTATTGTAGAATAACACCAACAAAAAGATTAGCAGAAAGCATAACAACCATTTTGGCTTGATTTAATACTTACTGTTGTGCTTCATATAGCACACTTTTAAAACAGTTTATACCAGATTGCAATATCAAATATGGTTTAGCAGTAGTACTATATGGCAATGTAATGCTAATAACTCTGACTAATCTATTTGCCAATCTAACTATATAGAATTGCCTCTTAAACTTACAGCACTTAAACAAATGTGTTTGATATGGGAAACATTAGAATGGATTGAAATGAATGCTCAAACTAGCGTTCTGAATATTCTTTGCTGAATTCTTTTTGGTTGCTGTTGGATTTGGTTTTTTTTATTTAAAACACATAATACTAAATATTTATGCCATGACTCTAGAGCTGTAGAGCAAAAATAGTAATATACTATTATATATGCTTTTTGCCACCAAAAATATCATTTTTGGAAACTGGAGCTTTGAAAATGCTGTGAAAATAAGGAAAAGTTATTCACTAGTTTTAAAAATGTATAATTTTCAGCTTTTTTGCCTAATGTATATTATAGAGGTTTATAATATTTATTACTATCTTAACTTATTTTGTCAAATATCAGAATGTAAAGAAATAGTTAGGTATTATTAACATGCTGTAATAGTAATCTTTTGTAACATTTGTTTTCAAAACTGTTGTATTTCTGAAAATCTTGTACTTGATGGCTATATGTTCATAAAACATAAGCACAGCTATTTGTATAAAAATAAATTGTACCTTCAAATACTCAGTAGAATTCTTTGATTGACTAATTGTTTTATTTGATATACATGATTTTTTTGCTGTGATAATTTATTTAGCTTTGAATTTAGATTAGGAAAATGGCACAGATACTGGACATCTCTTCCAGCGTTACTTTTCCTAACTTCAAAGCAACTGAGAAAATGGGAAATGCTGATTGCCAACCTTTTGCATAAATTACCTAGACTATTTCAGAAGCAACATTTCCAATACTACCAATCAAAGTTTTCCCATCTTTTCCTTCTTAATTTTTTTTGTATGAAGAAAAAACACCTGCAGTAATAGTGGGAAAATATGGGAGGATTGCTAGGGGGAAAAACATTGTAATATTTCCTAAATGTAATGAAATTTTACCCCAAAAGAAAATTTGGAAATATGCTGGGAACAGCTAATTCAGTAAAGGGGGCTATTAAAGACCAAAGTCACAAACACTATAAAGAATAGGGGCTATGTAAGGTCAAATTCTTATTTTACCTTGTATATGAACAGATACTCATAAATGAATAAAAATTACCCAGCAGACTAATTAGAGTGAACTAGAGTGAAATCAATGCATGAGTACTTCCAGCCTTAAGCCATTTTATACTGTAAGAAGGAAAAAATTAACTTCAGGCCAAATGTTTTAGGTGATATCTTCAGGCATTCACTAGCTCTGCTGAGTATGTTGACCTTTTATTTGATGCATATTTTTTCAGGCTTTTGTTTTTCCTTCTGTTAATTGTTCACAGCAGTTTCTTATGTTTATACATGTCGCTCCAGAAATTTCCATTGGACATAACAGGGTATAATCATGCATGTAAAATTAAGGTTATGGTGTTAGGCTAGAAACTGGGAGTCTGTGAGTTCTAGTTCCATCTTAGACACAAAGTCAGCTAGGTGATTTTGGGCCAGTGAGTCTCTTAGGCCTAAGAAGAAAGCAACGGCAAACCATATCAAAAGAAAAAAGAAAAAGAAACATATCCAAAAAACCTTGCCAAAAAAACTGCAGTGACTTGTCCAGGCCGTTGCCAGGAGTCAAAAAGTTACTTGAAGGCACAAACGTGTGCACACTCATGCACACAGTATAGCATTTGCATTTTAAGGGTAAGTAAAATAATAAGCTTATTGCTCCAGAAAGTGCAAACTATAGCAAATCTTATCTTTAATCACTGCCAGAAAGGCACAGAATAGCGCAGTTAGCATAGTCTTTAAGATCTACTGTATGACTGTTTCTTTCTAAACCTTTTCTAATACCCTAATGCCAGAAATTGCCAATCAGAGCTATAGGGCTATAATTTCTTATTATATATCCTATAGATATCTCCTAACAGGCTTTGTTCATAGTCCAGATGGCTTTTGAGCCCAGTTTCAGATTCCTGTTTTTGGATGAATGCATGTTTATGTATATAAAGTTTATGTATATAAGGGCTAATATAGCAGAAACATATGTGTTTCAATCTATTCCCAAACTACATGGGGAATTTGCTGTGTGCCTTATATGCATTTTGTAGAATCCAAATTGTAGTCCAGTGTTTCTTCATATGGGTTATATGATTTATTAATTAGTACAGCATTTAAGGAAAATATATGTTTTCTCCGAGTCAGGGAGATCCCAAGTTTGTGAAATTAAATAGACATTATTTTATAAAAAGCTCCAATCTACTTATCTGAGAGTCAAGTGACTAAAGGAAGATTTGGAAGAAGCTATGCATCCCTGAAAAGATGAAGCTATTTCATAATTGCCAGCTCTACCTAGTTTTTATTTTCCATATAAAGTATTTTGTTGAGTCTATCTGTAAAAGAATATTATCGATAGGCCTCAGTTTGTGACCACAAGTGGGACAAGAATTTCCTTTGCTAAGCAAGGTAGTTAAGTGAGCCACACCCAATTTTATTACCCTTTTTTTGGCCAAGGTTGTTAAGCAAATCACTGTACTTGTTAAGTGAATCATGTGGTTGTTAAGCCAACCCAGCTTCCCCCATTGATTTTGCTTATTGGAGGAGGCCAGCTGGGAAGCTAGCAAATGACAATCACATAACCCCCGGACACTCAAGTACCGTAAATACATGGTGTTGTCAAGCACCTGAATTTCGATGATGTGATTGTGGTGATGTGACAATCCTAAGGGCAAGTACTGGTTTTAAGTCCCTTTTCTCAATGCCGTTGTAACTTCAAAAGTTTGCTACCTGAATGGTTGTAAGTCGAGGATTACCTATAATGCCATAACTAGACCCCACAAACAACTTATAGCAAGCACATTGCATGCAATTCAGTATTTGCTGGGTGTATGGCTTCAATTTAGATTTAGAAGTATTTTATAACATAAACCAAAACTAAGATATTAAATGCCACTCAAAACAGAGATTCAATAGAGCTGAGGTTGCCTCGGCTACATTGTATTGACTTGCTGTGCAACAAGTTACATAGGACAGAAATAGTGTATCAACTTGGTTTTTGTATCTGTAAACCCAAGATCATCCAAGGACACAGGAGAGTAAAGCACATTTGGTCAGTTAGCCAATAAAGTACACTGGGGATTCAAAATGGGCATAGAATAGCACTCTGCATCAGTTTTCTAGCTTCGGTTAGTTACCCAGGCATTAATCCTCAAGAAAATCCTCAACAAAACACACATCAGGATTTCTTGCCAGGGCCCTTATATTAACAAAAGTATGCGACTGATAGAAAAGATTCCCCATTGTAGCATTTTTATGGACACTTCAAAAAAGTGTAATAGGGATTGTCTTTTGTATCAAATCAAATTAGCTGTGTAACATATAGGTAGTCCTCAACAGTTCATTTAGTGACTATTCAAAGTTACAACAACACTGAAAAAAGTGACTTACGACCGTTTTTCACACTTAGAACAGTTGCAGCATTTCCCATGGTCAAGTGATAAAAATTCAGATTCTTGGCAACTGAGTCATATTTATGACGGTTACAGAATCCCGGGTTCATGTGACCCTCCCCCTTTTGCGACCTATTGGCAAGTAAAGTCAATGGGGAAGCCAGATTCACTTAACTACCGTGTTACTAATTTAACATCTGCAGTGATTCGCTTAACAACTGTGGCAAGAAAGGTTGTAAAGGGCAAAGCTCGCTTAGCAACCGTCTTGCTTAGCAACAGAAATTTTGGGCTCAATTGTGGTCGTAAGTTGAGAACCACCTGCATAAGAAGAATATACCATAATATGTTTCAACAGAATTTAAAATTCTTTTGGCGTATAATCCTTACTCCAACTATAGCAGAAGATATCATATTTGCTAATAATACGGTAGTATTTGAAATCGATCTTAAGGTTAGATAAGATGCTGTAGATATGTAGGGCCTTCTCCTGGATTCCCAACAGATTCTGAAATCTAAGGAGAGAAGAACATTAGAAATCATATCTACCTTATTAGTTGTAATCCAGATTTATGGGATGCAGAGCAATAGAGCAGTCCTAATTTTAAGAAGTAGAATAAGAGGTTTTTTTGAGAATTCCATTGTTTCATTAATATAATTACTAGAAGCATAAAAGGGCAAATTGGACCACTAGATTTTAAAGTGGGGGTAAATAAACTGTCACTACTTAGAGGTTAATTTTTTAATATTTAATATTTTGGGGAGCAGTCAAAGATAAGATGTTATCCAGTGACATAAAAGAACTGGTCAGGAATAATGGCTTTGAGGTTTGGCTTCTTTTAGTTTAGTTTTGATTTGTTTAAAAATGTTTACATTTTTTTTCCTATGAAAAGTGAAGGAAAAACATCAAACTCTGACAATTCAGGTTTTTTTCACTGGGGTAATATAGGGATTCTGAGCACATTTGTATCATAACCTTGCTGGTGTGTAAATCAAAATGATTGATTATTTTATTTTATTTTCATTCTCTGCACTACTGCACTACTGAACTGAGGGTTTAGTGATGTTTCTGTTTCCTTTTTTTTGATGATTATTGCATTACAATAAAGGGAAGGATTGCAAACATGTATTTCTAAATCAAAAGGAACAAAAAATAACTTTCTTGCTATTTTCCGTTCACAATTGGTTCCATAGATGAGTGTAAAGCAACCTTTTTTATTTCAATAGAAATGCCTCCTGTTGAAAAATTAAATTTGGCAGACCTCATGAAATCCAGTTTGGATTTGTCAGACGGATGGCCTAATGAGGAGGAAATGATACGATTTAAGAAGCTAAGGGATGAACTTATCCAAGATGAAAGACAGGAGTATCCTGAAGACAAAATAGTAACCAATGAATCCATGCCTACATTAAGGAGAACCAGAACAAAGGAAAGCCTCTCTCGTAAATCATCTATACTTTCATCAAGGTAATAAAATATATAAGCCAGCTTGTGTTTTTATATTCTTTATGGAAACTCACAGTTTGCATTCTAATGTAAATTATATATTACTGCACTATGTTAAATTCCAAAAATGCATGATAAATAGTAGACATATAGAAAACTCAAGGGGAATTTAGAAGCTTTTGTTTTTAAAGCCACAATAGCAATAATAGAATTTTAAAATTTCCATAACCATTATATATTATTGTAATCACTGTAGAAAAAAATAATTTAAAAAGGGTAATAATCTTCCAGTATCAACATTCCTACTCTGAATCAACCATTAAAATTATTTGCAGGTGAGTTCTTGCTGCTTTTTCAGAGATTTTTAATACCTTGATGCAATGCTTCTGCCAATGCTTCTAGTGATAATCCTTATAAATGGCTCAAGAAATAGATGGCCATGCATCTATATGAACAACTATATGAGTAACAGGAATTGGTGGGAAATTCTGGGCAGAAACAGGACCAGTTACAGTGTTTCGTGGTCATGTGACCACAATTTGCAAAGCTTCTTGCAAGTTTCCAGCAAAAAATGTATATCCAGGAAAATGGATTCATTCAACAACCACATGGTTTGCTTCAACCATGGTGACTTATTTTATGACCAGCATAAGAACAGTTGTAAAATTGAGTCTAGCCATGTGCTTCCTTATCTTATAAACACATTGACTTATGACTTCAATTCCAGACTCCATTGTAATGGTAAGTCAAGGACTACCTGCATTTAGGTAAAGCAAAGGGCCAATTAACATTGCCTGTACAATTTCACATAGTTAACAATCATTTTCAGAAGCAATAATTTTCCACAACAAATATAACCAATCAGCAGTATATTTTAAAGGTAGAGTTAAATCCAAATAAGATTAAAGAAATGGTCAATTATCACCTAGAATTTATAATAACAGATGGTTCCAGATTAGTGTCCCTATCAGTGTTTTGCAGCAAAGCTAATGAAATAAGTGGAGTGCTGCTTCTTAAAGACTCACAAATATATTTTCTCATAATAAGCTTTAGTGGACCATGAACTATAAAAGTGTACATGATAATAAATCATATAGTTTTTAAAGTGACATAGAACATGTTAATTGGAATCTAAAGCCAGGAACAAATGAAGCCCTTAAGATGTACTTGGACAATTAATTTTCTCAAAGTGATTCCCATTATAAAGTCTTTCATTTAGATAGCTACTAGATGCTAATGCTGGTTTTGAAACATGACTCTAATAAGGATAGAAGTTTGCAACTAATTTTTCAATAGAAGCTCATATCTCATATATAAAGTATTTTTTGAAAATGCTGAAAATAGAGTAATTTTCTAAGTCCTTGCTTTGGCATTTAAATCTAAACAAATCCAAAAACAACCTTATAAATGTTATGAGATCTTATGATTTCAGTTACCTCACTCTTTTCTCCAAGCAAATGGGAAATGACATCCCCTTGGTTGAAGCATGCAATCTTCTGTTTAAAAAAAAATGCAACAGAGCTAACCTAAAATTGTGATTTGGACATCATTGAATTTGATGGCTAGAGCAGATAGAACATAGCAACTGATTTTTCTTCAGAGAAGGAGGTGGGAGATATGATGTAATATTTTGTGTTATAGGATCAGTATATTAAGAAATGGAATACATATTTTTTGAATAAATGAGCATGTACAATACCTAAGATCTAATATGAATTAAAGAATTTCCATGTTAAGTTTGAAGACATTGAAGAACTCATCAATACCACTTCCTAATGCCTTCCTGTATTTTCTACTATTTTCATAAAAATCTAATTCTTAATTCCAATAAAAACACAACAATTCCGTTCTAAATGTTCCATGAAAGATGGTTTGGGCCCAAGGTTAGTCATGATTCAGTCCCTCTGAAGCCAGTGAAGAATTCCCCCATAAAATAATGGCTAACCTTAGTTGGATTGAACCTGCATGCTTTTTTAATTTTGTAAGCTTTTCCTCAGTCTGGATATAGTTTATAAAAATTTAGGCAAAAAACAGATGTTTAAGAGTAAATTACCCAAAGAACAAATAAACCCCCAAATTATGCTCAAACCAGTTTCATTGTTTTAATATTTATATTGCATATACAGTTTATTTCAATTTAACACAATCATGCAATTTAGCACAATCACTATTTACTGTATGACCTTAAATTTCTGGGGGGGAAATGCAAGGAACAAATGTGAATTAAATCAAAACCAAACCAAACAGAAAAAAGATTATGGGAGTGATATATCCCTCAAGTCACTGTTTTGTGAAATTCTGAAGTAAACTTTTTTTAAAAAAGCCTGAAGATAGTAGAAATGATTATAGAGATTTTTTGTTCAACTACTGTATTGTTCTGTATAGATTTTGATGACAAATATAATTGACTGAATTTAACAAGTCTATTTCAAAGGGATAAAAAGAATCTGTTTCCTGCGGCTTCATCATACGATTTCATAATCCAAAGTAAGATGGCAGAGGAGTGCAGATTGGCAGCATTAAAAGAAATGAGGGAAAAACAAGCTTTAATTGAACAGCGGAGAAAGTAAGTATTATAATTATTTTCAACAATATATTATTAGTCTAAATAAGTCTATTAAATATGGGTTTTAGAAATCTAGAAGACCACTAGATGGCAGAGGTTTTTTTTCCTATATTCTGACAACCATCAGAATTTTTACAGCCTAGATATGAAAGCCCTAATATAGAAGATGTTACTACTTGACAGAAAAACAAACTGGTTTTTTTTTTATTTTAAAATGAATATATTACTATTTTATCCATCCAGCTTTTATTTGCTTTTTGCTGCTTGCAGAGTGCAAGATTTATGGCACAGATAACAGGATCAGATTCATGATTTTAAATAAGTAAAGAAGAGGATTATTTTTAGTGCAGGAAAGCAGGAAACAGAAGAGAGATTGTTATGCACCTCCTATTTTTCACTGCCATATTCAATCAGTTCCTTCATACTGTTACTTTTTTCCCTATTACTCCAAGCCTGCATTTTCACAGTGTGCATAACAGGGTCAGTGAAAAACTAGCATGTTAAACAAACTTTTGAACCAAATTTCCAGGTTAAGATCATACTCATTTAAGAAAGGATAGCTGAGGTGTAGACAGTAATACTTCTATATCTACTGTTTCTCACCACAGTCTCTGAGCAATATTCCTATAACCTTAGTCCAGCATCTTTCCCACAGTTGAAGAATTTTAACTAAATTCATCCTGACTTTGAATGCACAAGAAAATATTAGACTTACATAGACTGACATTTTTGCTTTCATGTTTCATATCCAGTTTTGAGAGTTTAAACCAGATATGTGCTTAATCTCACTATTTTTGTGATTGCCAGGAAGCACCTGGCTTCTTCGAACACCACTGAAGCTTGAATAAGAGAGATTTAACCATTTCTGTTGTGTGAATAACCTCAAGCTGCTCTTAAATCCATATTTATATGAATGTCCATGTATATACACAGCCTGTATATACACAGCCTGTATTATATAGTATCTATATAAATAAAAATGTAAATGTTCGTTTGTTCAAAATCTTAAATCTCCAAAAGTTCTTCACCGATTGTTTTGAAATTTTCACACAACGTTGCATTCGAATACGCACATGTTTTTATATACCTATATTATATAGATGTCACACCTGTGACAGGTAAAAACATGCTTTTTTGGAAAAACAGCGCCATCTGTTGGACGTAAAAGCAACACACGCTTTTACCAGACTGAGCCACAGCAACGCATGGCTGGGTACAGCTAGTCTAGAAATAGAATCATTGGGGTTTTTTATTATGATTGTTCATCTACAAAAATATTATGCACACTTTGCTTGCACAAGAATAAAAATCCAGTATGATTTTTAAAGTTTGGTGTTTTTTTGGAAAGTTAGTTCCAATATTGACTACGTGGCTTACTAGTGAAATGTTAAATACTTTTAAAATCTTTTTGAAGAGATAAAGAAGTTCTTCAGAAATGGAGAAAACAGGCCAGGAAGATAAGAGAAAAGAAAGGAATCTTGTACACATATTCACCCCAAAAAGGAAATACAATGGTATGTATCAGCATATGATTTTGTTGTGCAAAAACATGTCGGTTCTTATAATGAAATACTGATAATTGGGGTTCTCTGTACCATTGAGCTAAATGCTTTGTACTGTATTTCATTGCCGTTATTTCCCCATAGCTGAATTACATATCTAGGAGAAGACCTCTGGTGACCCAGATTAGAAGGACACTCATTAATCCTATGAAATGTGCCAGACCATTCTAGACCAACTATAGCCCCTTGTTTAAATTATACTTCCTTAATTATGTAAACAATTGTCGGTTGTAGGATAGCTGGTCATCTGATTTGGTTTTCATGTAGAAAATGGAAAAGATGTGTTCTTGATTTTGATGGTTAGATATCGAGAATAACTTGAGAATATATAAATAGCTGAAAGGATAAAAATTAGGATTTTTGCAAAGTTCTCAGGGATTAAGGCATCTCAGATACCCTAATAATCTCTTCAAGGTCCTAGCTATCTTTCTGTCCTTAATCTATTGAGTCGTTGCCTCAAGAATGAATAATTTCTATTTCTGTGAAAATATATGGATCAGTTTAATTTGATAGATCTTGTTTTAGAGCCTCTTGGGCTGACTGGTGCCAAAAGTTCAGTTAGGTTAGATCTTGAGATCCATAACAAGAGTTTCCATCAAGGACACACACACTCAGAGAAAAGCAGGTGATGGAGGCAGTGGTAAACATCAGCCTCTGATAAGGGCAATATGTTAATCCAATATATACTTATAGGTATTATAGGTATTATATTATTTGTATTTGAAAAGTTAGTGACTTTTTCTCAGAAAAATAGAATTTTAAATGTTTTTATATATGTTAAAATGTGAAAGTGCACATGTTCAGAATACACATGTTTAAAATCAAAGCTGAAAAAAATAGTCTTGTTTTTCTGGTTCTAACATATTAGTTTAATAATAAAATATGGAACAGTAGAACAGATATGGAATGGCCTACAGGAGCTAAGGCACTTATAACAGCACAAAATACATTTTCAGATCCTGCTGCCTCTTTTTTTCTATCTGAGTTAATCTGTCTGTCTGTCTGTCTGTCTATCATACTTATATGAATGCCTAACTCACAAAATGTGACTCAGGGCAGCCAGCTACTTTGCCAGTTAAGATACTTAACAGATTTACATGAGTACCATAGCATCCTAGATCTAGAACTTGACTACTTGTTTTTCTTGCTTAGCCCTCTCCACCAAGGTGTCCTGTGTAGATACGTCCCCGATAAATTAACCTAAACAGCAAACATTTTCTTCAATTTTATTTTAAATTATTACTACACAACCCCAGAACTTTGGCGGAAGCATGTGCAAATGTAAGTAAATACTTACATCAGCTCTTCACTGTGCAACAAGAACCCATGTGTGCTGTAGGTGTCAAAACATCCTGCACATAGCTATTCAAAAGCTGTGGCTGCCCAAGCTGTTTGGAGGCGTTGAAACAGAAGGGCTTTAATTTAAAATAGGATTGTTGATGGATGTCTCCTGAGATTTTGCTTCTGCCAAATTGAAGTAAATGTAGGCTGGATGTTATAGTTAATCCAGAGAGAAAAATCTGTCATCATGGTCCCAAGAGAGAAACTCTTTGTTTTGTAACCCTGTAAATAGAGCAACTCCCTCATTTAAAGAAGTAAAGTCTTCCTCTACTCCTGGGTGATCATGTGGATGGACCATGAAGTTGTCTTTGACAACAACAATATTGACGTTGAATGACTAACAGTCATTAACACTGATGATGTTACCTAGTTGGGTAATGAAACATCTGCAAGCAAGCAATTAAGCTCAGAGATATCAAGGATTCCACAGTTCGGCCCTGAGCTACATATATTCTCTTCTACTAGAACTTTGTTACTTGGATAGATGACCACCTGAAAATCACAGAACAAAGTTTTAGTAGAAGAGAATATATGTAGCTCAGGGTTGAAATGTGGAATCCTTGTTGTCTCTGAGCTTAGTTGCTTGCTTTGAAATGTTTCGTTACCCAACTAGGTAATATCATCAGTTTTAATGCCTGTTAGGTTTGCTCCCCATGGAACATTAACACTGATGATGTTACCTAGTTAGGTAATAAAATGTCTGCAAGCAAACAACCAAGCTCAGAGATCACCAAGGACTTCACAAATAACAATATGGTCCAACTCCGTTTAGCTTTACCAATGTAATTAGGTGATGCCACTGGTTAACAAAACAACCAGTCATTGGGACAGGTAGAGCTGGATATGTGAGTCATGCTTCTAGACTCAAAAGAATGGCATGTATCTCTCTTTCATTTTTATTTTTTTAAATAGTTTAAGGCATGGGACTGGGCCATTAGATCATTTCATTGATTTTATTTTAACTTTTTTTTTTGCAGTACACTATTTTTTCCCCAAGTACCAGTAACTGAGCATTCATTATTTAAATGAAGCTATTTAAGTGAAGTTAAAATGAAAAACTATGCAAGCGTAGACTTTTCTAAAAAAAAAGGGGGGGGTTATTAATCACAATTGTTTGTTTGTGATAGTGCTTTTAGACAGGTAATTTAACATCCCTTTCTTAGCCATCCATCAGAACGGTTTAGACTTCATGCTCAACTATGGCTTGCTTATTCATAACTTGTCAACTAAGCTGCACTTAGATACACATAATGCCATAAGTCTTACAGTAAACAATTGTGTTGAACTCACCCAACTTGATAAGTCAAAACCTAATAACTTGTATTATGGTTTAACACAATGTACAAACCCCCTCTAATTAAGGATGTTGATGTGGAGGAAAGAGTTTCTTCTGCTTCCCAGTTCAATGAAAGTCCAATTTTCAAGTTCTCGCTGTAGAGACCATAGGAAGAAGAATGGCGCAATTTGGCTGATAATAGATCATTCATTCATTCATCTCTAGAGTAGATTCTAGAGCTCAATGAAAGAATTGGTTGAGATACTAAATCCTTATGTCTTCGATCTTCACATTTTACTTTTAAAAATAAGAGGACTGTCCAATAAAGCAAGGCAGGGAATGATTAAAAATTGTTAATATTTACACCAGATTTAGTTTTTTATAATGACACGAATTTGAATATTTTGTATGTTCTTTAGGATATTTGAAAATTATTTCCTAGTTTCTCCCTGAATGAAATATGTAGGAAACACAAGAGGGCGCTACAAACCCATAGTATTCAGTTGCAGTGAGGCTAGCAGTGTTTCTCAACCTTGACAATTTTAAGGCATGTGGACTTCAACTCCCAGAATTCCACAGCCAGCATTGCTGGCTGTGGAATTCTGGGAGTTGAAGTCCACATGCCTTAAAATTGTCAAGGTTGAGAAACACTGGGCTACAGGCTTAAACATCAAGTTGATTAGAATGCAAATCAGAAAGGTACAAATATGACTGTGTTTCCTCTATTTCTGTTCTGTCAGTTAATTATAGGGTGGTTCTAAACATGATTTGTAGGTAAAGGGTGGCAAATTCTGTGGTACAAGTAGGGCAGAAGAAAGTGCTTCTTGGTATAGCATTGCTAAATCTTATTGGATAAGTTTTAAAATGATTGTCTTGGTTGTATAGTACCTGGCTGACTTTGTCTGATTAAAAAAAAAGCAGGGCAACATCCTAGCTAATCTTAAGGATGAGAGATCAGTAAGGATTCCTAGGCTGTAGTTTGGTAAATTGAAAAAAATCTTAGAAGAAACAATAGCAAATCACTTCTGCATTAAGAAAACAACCCGACCTTGTTCATGACAACATAAGGAATCAAACTTCTGAAGGAGACTTAACCCTTGATCGATTGCTGTGTCAAACCACTGAATTCATTTATCTGAAAGGCTTGGTGGGAAGATAAATTCAAATATATACACATAGAGGCATGCATAGGCACAGTGAGTGTTTCATGCTTTTTGTCACTGCAAAGCACACCATATCTTTGTAATCCTCACAGTTTATGAGAAAAAGCTATTATTTATTGGTAGGTCTCTGTATGGTTTGCAATAAATTAGCTATCCTTTCTGACTCTAAATGGCCTTAACAGTGACTACTTAAAAATCTTTTTCCTCAGAGAAAAACATAGAAACAAGCTATTGAATGACTGGCAGAGACAAGTAACAAATTGTACATGGCCTAATAAAAGATTGAGGATTAAATGTAAGAAACTGCAGATCTTGGAAGACCAAGACAATCTGGCAGCCCTGACCTTCAAACTGTATTATCAGGATAGCTATTTAATTTGGATTACATATTGAATATTATCACTCTGTGGTTGTATTACCTTCTTTGAGGGAACCGGACTCCCAGATGGACAAATTATCTTTAGATTGATACAAACAGGAATGAACAGTTATAAGATTATTTGTATTATGTACAATAATAAACAATGTATTAAAGTTGGGAATAAATATAAGAAGCTTTCCAAACTCTTGCCCTGTTGTTGTTTTTTCAAGAAGATAAAAGTATGAAGAATTTTGTTCAGTAGAAAGACAACAAGTCATATATACGGTACATCAAAATGTCATTAATAATAAGGCAAATATACAAAACCACCTGACCAGTTTCAATATCTTCAAATAACACTATAGCTTTAAAAGAACTGTAAAAAGGAGAGGGAACAATTAGAGATCTGACTGAATCTGAAAACCTTATATTTTTTTCAGCATTTGCCAGGTCTTGCTTATAAATTGCTGATGAATATGTAACTCAGAAACTGAACATGTTAAAGATTGTATGATTAAGATAGAGAATTTAAATGCAATTGATGTGCAACAATGGGAATTTTAATGCAAGAAAAGCATTCAGTTCACAACAAATAGTAGAGTTAGAGAAAATTGGTATGTTTTACCACTGGTATATTTTTCTAGTACTGATAGCTAAAATTGACAGATTATTGTCTAAATATTGCTAGAAATGTAATCATTTTTTTAATATTTGATGACAATGTGAAGCTCAACCATTTTGGAAAATGAATTTCATGCATTCAGTTTAGGCACCGACTCCAAACAGACTCTGGTGATGTACATTAAAACCA